ACACCCATCACAGAGCCTCAAGGCACTCCCATTCTTCTGTGTTATGTTTACCTCTGCTTTCCCTATCTGCTAATCACTTATATTCCCAAATCAGATCTGTGACTTGTAAAGTCAGATTCTTCTGAGGACTCCGAATTTTGTATATGCAAGTGAAATGTTGCTTTTCTCTTTCCTTTATGTCCTTCACAGTTTACTTTAAAGCAATGTCCCTTTTTTGTATAGACACAGGAAGACAGTTAATGCTATGCTTTTGTAACTTGGGAGTTAATTGACTCTGAATAATATTTACTCCTGGGGATATTTAATTGACTTAAGCTTCAGCTGCCCTTAGTTCCTAGCACCCCAAAAGGAGGGTTCTGACGAGGGACTTGGATGGATCCAGGGCAAGTCATAAGCTACCCTGGCCTCAAAAACTAACAAGCTGTACGCTACCCTGACATCGAAAAAGGACAGGTTAAGCACCACAAATCTTAATAATAAGTTAAAAGCATGGCCATGGACAAGCTCTGTCATAACTGAAAAGGAAGTAGCTGGATAGGAATCCTGCTGGGATGAGGACTGTAGTCTTGGATATATAGTGAGATATCCCCAGGAGAGCCACCCTTTAAGTTTAATATATCTCTTACTGTGTCCATACAAAATGACTAGAAATATTATTGAGAAGTATACTTAAGATGACTGTTTAAGTGGATTTGGACTAGGGAGAAGAGAAACACACCCTTAAGTTGGAATTTGGCCCTTGAGCGGATCCTCTTGCAGGATGAGATTTTTGTGGTAGAGGAAGCTTCTCCTGTAGGGAAGGACTTTACATATCTTGATTGCACAACATCTGTGTATTTGTATGGATAAATGGACGCTGGTTGGTTGAATGGACAACAGATAGAGGAAATGACAGATAACTGATCAATGATAGTTGATAAAAGATACATAAACAATAGGAGTTGGATATCAGGGCTTCTCAAGGCAGGTGCTGCCACACCTGGGGGAGGAGACATGCAGGGATGATCCAGGGGAGTACTTATAGCCTCGAGTGCAGTTGGGGAGGGAGCAACTTTCTATTTATTTACTTAATGAATGTTAGTTCCAGGGTCTGAGAGACAGTTACTTTCTTAACAAACAGTTGACCTGGGTTCAGTCACCAGAACTGCATAGGCTTCCCGAGGCCCACTAGGAGTGACCCCTGAGCACAGCTGGGTGTGACCCAAACACCAAAAAGGAAGGTAGATTTCAGGAGGACACTGGAAAAATTATTCTTTTTCTGAAAATTGAGGAGTGTTCTCTTAGCAATGAAGATGTAGACCCAACCCATTTTCCTGCTACTCCCCCAGACCACCAAATGATGGGGCTGGAGTAACAGCCCAGGGGCAGGAGTCCAGGCCGGGTAGGAGGGAGACAACAAAGGGTGTCTGGGCAGTCCTGTGGAGGAGACACTCCTTGTCTGCTAAGAGCCTGTTACTGACTCCTTCAGAACTACAAACGCTGAAAATGAAAATGTATCACGATGTTGGATTGTGATGGTTTGTCCGTAACGCAGTCTGCCAGGTTGGTACCAAAGGAGCCTTTCCTGACCCCCTCCAGCTGTCCTCCCACCATCTTTAGGGAGTCAGAGAATCCGCTGGTGCAAATCAACCATCAACTATGAGTATGTATGTATTTGTGTGCATGAGTATGTATGTGTGTGTGCACACATAACTGGCCACTATGCTCATTGTCAATTTGTTTGTCTGTGCACTGGAGAGTCAGATTCAGGATGAAATCAGAAGTAGAAGTCCTCAGGCAGCTGTATTGTCAATAAAGGTCAGAGTGTGAGGTCATGTGTACCAATATTTAGAAATATTTGGTCTTTTTGACAGTTGTCTTTTTACCAGTTTAGATTTTTAATGATTTTAGACTGACTAAAACTGACTAGTTTGGAGTCCTCCCAGACACTTAGGTAAAGTCTGAAGGTGAAACTGCAGCCCTACCCTGCAGGGCTTCTTACTGTGGACTTGGGAGCAGATTTGTCCTGGTGGACTTGGGCAGCTTTAAAATACGAGCATCCTAGAAGTAGGCCTCCCTTGCAGTTTTTGTTAAAAAATAAGTGATAGCTCTCGGGGCACCCCAGAGAGGGCCGGGTGAAAGCACTCCCTGCCCCAAGGGACCCAGCCCCGGCAGCTAAAAACCTCCAGAATCCAACCCTCGCCGTGCTCAAGGCTGCTCCCCATATGCTCAGGCCAAGCCTCACACATGAGTGAAATCCTATGGAACCCAGGTAATACAGAACTTTGTGACCTTGGACTCTGGGCTCAACAGGACTGGGAGCTGAGATCCGCCTCTCACTTCCCCCCAAGTCTCTCTCTCTCTCTCTCTCTCTCTCTATATATATATATATATATATATATATATATGAAAGCTCACATCACTCAACCTTTAACAACATGTGATATCCTAAAGTATGTCTTAATGGTCCCTGCCAAAATAGAACAATCTTCACATTGTTTCCTATATGAATACTTTTTTGTAAGCATGCTCAGCAGTTCTTCATAATAGACAGTACAAAATATATTATTTTGGTTGTCCTTGGGACAGGGATTGGGTCTTGGGATCTAAACACCTCAAATTTGGTGGTGGGAAGGTTGAATAATAGTGGGATTGGTTTTTGAATATTAAATGTAATCAAATATTGTGAACTACCACCACTGTCACTGTCCTCTCATTATTTATCAATTTGCTCTAGTGAGCCCAGTAATGTCTCTATCTTGAGACTTGTTACTGTGTTTGGCATATGGAATACATCACGGGTAGCTTGCCAGGCTTTGCCGTGCGGGCTAGATACTCTCAGTAGCTTGCCGGGCTCTCCCAGAGGGGCGGAGGAGTGAACTACCATAAAAAATAAAAAAATTTTCGCTCTGGAAAGAAAGATGGCAGCCGCATGGGAGCCTTGTGGAGAGCAGGTATGAGCCGGGGGTGTGGGGGCGACTAAAACCTCATGAGAAGGGGGGCGTTCCGGCCCGTTCCTCATGCCCTATCGAGGTCACCAGTTGCCCCCTATGAGCGACTCTCTGGCACAGCCACGACTCCAGAGCACAGAAACCAATCTCTTAATTATCTGACTTTCAGTAGAAATACTTCCGGGGTTAATAAGTAAAATAGCAGAAATCCAAAACCGTGCGGCTGCAATAGTGGCTGCGCAAAAACATTTAATTCTTGACCCCAGCTGTAGAAAGCAAATCATTTCACAATGCTTTTTCAGCATACCTGATTTTGGGGGGGGGGGTAAACTCTAAATAATAATGGTACATCTTTTATCGAAACAATGAATCTAGTCAAAGTAGATAGAGTGTTAACTAGAATTCATCTGCCTCACAGGCATTGGGAGGGGTGGGGGTGGGGTTTTATTGGGGTCCTTCAGGGTAAAAAATAAGTATTGGTAAAGGGAAATGTGTGTTTGATATTTGCATGACCGAGACTTAAACCTGAAAGCTTTGTAACTTTTCCCACAGTGATTCAATAAATAAATAAATTATAAAAAATTAAAAATAAATAAAAAATTTTCAAAATAATAGTGATAACTGAAAGAGAAAAATTGTGATCAATGTTTTAAATTGAGTTGTTAATATGTATATATGCTATTTTGAAGGTAACTGAGTTTAATTTAGGTTGTTTATGAGGGAACTAGGTTAGTTTTGAAACTTTTTTAGTTTTTATTGTGTTTAAATGGGTAAATAGAGCTTTCTAATTACTCTTGAGAGACAAGACTTGCCAGGACCCAAGTGAAAAAAATGATGATTGGAAGAAAGGGAGGATGGTCATGGAGGGTCTTAGAGGAGCCCTTGAGACATCTGTGATAATTATTGTTTTACTATATTTAAATTTAAATTCAGACCTTTTTGGTGTGTTAAGATTTCATGGGGAGCACTATCATTTAAAAAAGTACCTAACATTTTGAGAATGAAAGTTCTATGTATTAATTAGGTCAATTTGGGTGAAAGAGAAATGAGGAAAAAGTTTAATGTACCTAGGAATATTTGACTTTTGAGACGTCTGGAATTTTAGTTTGTAGAGTTATTAAAAGGTAAAGGTAAAGGCCCTCCCGTTGATCGTCGATTTGCTCAAGCGGGCCCAGTAACGTCTCCATTGGAGACTTTGTTGTTACTGTGTTTGGCATATCGAATACTCTCGGTAGCTTGCCGTTTTAGACACTGTTGGGTATGGAGAGGGACATGACAGACTCCGTTCTTGAAACCCCTGTTCCATGCCCCTTTTTGCATTCCCCTGTCCCACATGTTGTTTTTCTAAATACTTTGTAGCTCTCAACAGTCTGCGTCTCTCAGGAGTGTGCACCGCCCCCTCCCCTGGCCATGGCCGTCTGCAAAAGAGGGACATCTGGGCTGATAACTCGGTCTTGGTTCTCAGAATTCAGTTTCTTCCCCCTGACCATCTGTGAGGGAAGAATGTCCGATTCAATCTTGGCCAAAAAGGCTCTGCTGTTCACTATGTAGAAAAACCATCTGGACGGCACAGGGAAGGGGGAACTACCACCAGAGTAGCCTAGGAAACAGGATAAAAAGCGAACTATCTGCAATTGTTCATTATGCTGTTTGAAATTATGCTGAAACTTGCTTTTTATTTATGTTTTTCTCTGAACTTTAAGCACAGGCTATGATGTAAGCGTTAACTATAAAACTTGCAGCTCCTCTGTTGCTCGAGGTCTTGCTCTGGCCTGTGTGCCTGAGAGTTTGACCCCAGCTAGCTGGCTTGGATAAACTCCGCTTGTGTTTTGCATTACTGGCTGGACTCTTTGTATGGTTTGGAGAGGGGAAATGACCAACCTCGGACGTAAACAACACATGCTTATGTAAGGGCCGCCCGGGCTAATAGTCATGAAAGAGTTAAGTGGTAGGAAAGAGTTAACCAGAAAACTCTAAAAGCTGTGAAAACTAGAGTTGCAAAAGCTGGCTCAAAAGAGTTATAATGTAGCTCCCACCTACTCCCTGCTATGACCTTGTGGTTGGGCCAGATATGGGGACATGTACTCAGATGTTCCAAAGAAGTTAATCTTGTGCAAGTGTTGTGCCGTTCTTGGTAAAGCTGCAGATTGCTGTACTGTAAGATTCCTTTGTTTATTCTTTGTTATAAAAACCCACTCTACTTTGGTTCAGGGCATTCTGTCTCTGTCCTCTTTTCGGGACATGTAGTGAGACCCAGCATGCTTGGACAATATATCCTGTGTGTGTTGCATGAGAAAGTCTTTTGGAGTCTTCCTTCATGGGCGGTGAGAGTCTTGACCCTAACATTTGGAGGTTCCACAGAGATCTGCTCTGCTGCTCCGGTCATCTACACCAGGCTCTTCTCGGGGTAAGTAAGGCGCCTAAAAACTGGGAATCGTGATCGTGTAAGGTCAGGTCCTGACTGGCATTGTGACTGTCGGTGCGAGGCATGAGCATTCTCCAACTGTGGCTGACAGACGTGTCCGGGAGCCACAGGAAACGACCCCGGGGGACGCCCTGGTGGTGTGGTAAAGGAGCTCTGGGGACGTCTGGATGTCTCCTACGAGGCGGGTTCTGCGACTTTGTTGCCAGCAAAATCAGGGAGGCCAGTGCACCGTTTAATTGTTGTAAGGCCTTAAATTCTGCGGATTATTCCATCTGTTTCCTGGGGGGATGGTGTCCCCATCTGGACTGCGGCAGGGAAGTGGCCAACCTTGACTGGGAGGACTTGAAGGACATAAGGTTTCTTCGGGTCCTCGTCTGTTATCCTAGGATCAGGAGGACATATTTTCTGGGTCCTCATCTGTTCTGGAAAACCTGGTGCCAGGAGAAGACTTGGAAGAACTAAACCCTCCGGAGGTGAAAAATCACGCGGACTCCCTTTGGGCAAATTCGGGAATCCCAGTGTGATTGTGGTGAGAGGGGTATGCACCTGTGTGAGAAAAGGACCAGTCCGAGCAAGTGCAGGAGTGTGATCTGTGCCTGTGTCTTCATTGTGTGTATTTGCCTTATTATTTTTCTCTTGGTTCTGTTTATTAAGATTGTTTAATACGGGTCAGAATCAATCAACCCCCAAAGCTTTAATTCTTGATCACTTCTCTGAGATCCACAAGAAAGCTCAGGATGATCGAGAAAGGTAAGTTTGACACTTAATGTTCATCAGAATGGCCTTCCTTTGGTGTGTATTGGCCCCCACGAGGTTCCTTCTCTCCAAATCTTGTGGCTCGGATAAAGGAGGTAATCTGTGGGAAATCTGCTGTGAAGGTATGCTCCCTTGGAAATCTCTATGGGGCATGGGGTAGGAATGTGATAAGCTCTGTGTGAATGTGTGCATGCATGAGCACCCTGATAGGTCTTCCTATCGGGCGTGATTTTGTAGCTCCACGACCTGGCACTTTAAAGTCCCTCTAAAAAGTCATGGAGCTCGAGTGGGCTGCCTGTGATTCCATGGAGAACATACGGTCAAGGGTGGCACTGGCATAGCTGCTGGTCGCAAGACAATGCTGAACCACTAAGGCTAAGTTTTCCACCAGCCAGGCAAGCATCTGAATGGTCTTTGCAAAGAGGCACCCCTCCTTTGTTTTGCATCACTGTCCACTATGGGAGGGACGGGAGGAAAGCCCACTAGTGAGAAGATCCTGGGAAACTAGGCAGATCAATTTCCAGGCAGAAAATCCTTTTCCCTACCCAGTCTCAGTCTAACCAGAAGATCAGCTAGAGGTCAATTGAAATGCTAATGAAGGCAGTTCAGATGTAAGGCAGAAAGAGGAAAAAATAAGGGGGGTGGGGGGTAAAAGGCAGGTAAGAGACCTGAGAAAAGTAGCAAGCCAGCAAAAAGCAGGGAGAGGTAGCAAGCTAAGAAAGGCAGAACTGTTTTTTAAGGAGCAGAGTTTTTAAGACCACAGCACTAGGCTCAGCTTAGGCACACAGCTGTGGGTCTGCCCGATGCCAGGCCTGCCCAGGGACACCTGCAGAGGAAGCAGAAGCCATTGGTGGAGATGGTCCTAATCCAATGAGCCTCTGAGTAAAGGTCAATATACAGGGGTTAGAGTCCCCTTGGGAGAGGCCAGAGGGGTTCGAGTCCCCTTGGGAGAGGTCAAAGTGACAAACCTGGAGAAAAGTTTTGCCAAGGAACCATCCTTTTTCATAGATTATTGCTTGCAATTAGGAAATCTGGGAAATTCCACCTCGATACCTAAAGATTCTTCATTGGGTTGCTTATTAAAACATCCGAAGAGCTTCCAACTAGGTAGTTTAGATAAGGAGTATCTCTGTAACACTACGTGGCCTGAATATAAGCTAGAGCGTGGGGAGGAATGGCCAGTGAGTGGCAGTTTGCATTGCCAGAACATTTTGCAGTCAGATCTTTGCAGGTAACAAAAGAAATAGGATTATCAAAGCAGAGGAGGCAGGAAAATGCAAGATCATACGATCAACTGTTTGATATCAGAAACAAAGAAGTGTGTCACTAAGGCAGCCTATCCCCATGTCTGATAGAAGGATGCTGGCTGTCTGCCTCAGAGCTGGCAACTGGCTGGTTGGGCTCGGAGGCAGGGAGCAGTGTTCCCAATCGCCCTATAAGGCTTCTTTGCCCTGGGGACTGTCCCTTCCTCTCTCAGTCCATCAGTTTTCTCCCTGCCGTTTTTGAAGGGACAGATCGATCCACTGCAGATGTGTGCACATGTATGTGTGGTGTTTTAGTCAGTTCATTGTGTCTGTCTGTCTATGTGGATCACTCAAGTGTTGGAACCAGGCTGAAATCAGAAGTAGAAATTCTGGAGAAGTCAGTGATATGCAACCCAGTGGTTTAAGAAATGCAGTTGTTAGACAAGGGTTAACGAAGATTTCTTAGCAGAAGGTTGAGTCTACAGAGAAAGCAGAATTCTCGTTCTAAATTTCTTGATAGAAGAACATTAATGTTTATATGATTATTAACAGTTGAAATCCTTTTGAACTTAAGAATCTGTACTATCAGGGCTGGAGAGATAGCACAGCGGGTAGGGTGTTTACCTTGCACAAGGCCGACCTGGGTTCAACTTCCAGCATCCCATATGGTTGCCTGAACACTGCCAGGAGTATCTCCTGAGTGCAGAGCCAGGAGTAATCCTGAGCATCGCCAGGTGTGACCCAAAAAGAAAAAAAAAAAAAAATCTGTACTATCTAGAAGAGCTGTGGAACTAGAGCCTGAAACTAAAGTGAAATAAAGTTCAGAGAATGCAAGGCATCAATCTTGCAAGTATCAGCCAATTGTAATGAGGGATTTAGCTGTTTAACAAACAACAGAGGTACAGAAGGCATCAAAATAAACAAAGTTTTCTTATGTTTCCATAAACATTGACAGTCCAAGTGCTATTTTCTATGATAGTATCAAAGTTTGGTAAAAACTCAAAGGGCTTTCTCTGTGTCTGAAAGCATGTTTGTATTCTTGTGGAATTGTTAAAAGTATCTGATGTAGAAAGCTCATGATTTTAAACAACTAAGGTACAAGAACTATTGAAATTAAGCCAAAGAAGATTTTATCATGTTTTATAAAAAATGCTAATCTTCAGCGGAAAGGCGTTTGCCTTGCACGCAGCCAACATGGCCGGCTCGAGTTCCATTCCTCAGCCCCTCTCAGAGAGCCCCGCAAGCTACCAAAATTATCTCGCCCGCTCGGCAGAGCCTGGTAAGCTACCTGTGACGTAATGGATATGTCAAACACAGTAACAACAAGTCTCATGATGGAGACGTTACTGGGCCCGCTCGAGCAAGTTGATGAATAACGGGAGGACCATGACCATTTTAAAAAATGGTGGTTCAAAGGTTTTATGCTGTTATATCAATGTACATATTTGTATCTGCATTGGATTATTAGAATATTGACCTAGAAAATCTTGGGAGTTGACATAAAAACGGGTTCAAAGAGTAATGGGTTAGTTTAAAACATGTGGGAAATTTTACTAGCTATATTGTTAATCAGCCTGTCCCGTGCTTGAAAGTGCATGCTATTATTCTGATAACTTTATTTCATGCAAAGCCTTGTCACCAGGTATCAAACTAGCCCTGATCTTCAGAGAGCTTTGTAAACAAGTGTGAAATCCTTAATGTTTCATAATAATCTATGAGTGCTTTAATGTTTGTACCTGTGTTTTCCTGGAAATGAGAATTCTAAGATGTTAATGGTTAATTTCTAATGTGAAGCGAACTTTTGCCTAGTGAATATATCTTGCAAGAACTTTAGTTGTGAGCATCTTTAAAAATTTTTTAAATATCTATAGAACAGATGTGATGCTTTTGAAATGGTACTGCAGAGTAGTTTTGTCATGTTAAATGAGATGATTGGTAACTGGTGCCCAAACTTGGGAGATCATGTGTACTAAGGTCAGTAAAATAAGAGTTTAAACTTGTGGGACGACTGTTAGGAATATTGATGTGTCTTAAGTCAGAAAGATAATGGATGGAGATATCAGTGGGAAAAAGGAAAGGAATCCTGTTAAATGAACAAAAGTTACAGAATGAATGTAGAGGAATGTGTAGGTTTGAGGTTGTGTTTTAAGAAAAGGAACTGATCAAGTTGCTTTGTTATAAGAAACTCTTTAAATTACATGCAGAATTGTTCTATACATTTTTGGTAAGATCTATGGAAAGGATACTGTACACTGGAGTCCTGGTACCATGCTCTTATTGATGGGAAGTCAAGGTTTTCAACATGGGATTGAATGAATTAAACACAATGTTAAACTGTATGCTTTATCTCTACAGATTTAAGCTTCCTTTGACGAGGACCCACAGAAAATGGGTGTATTACACCTCACTGTGAGTAAGGTGAAGTGCTTGCTCTTCTCTTCTTTTGTACCTTCAATATTTTTTTAATGCTTCATGGCACTATGTTGGTTTACACAAATCCAGAAAAGTCTCTCCTCTCTGTAGTAGGGTCTACCCCTCATTCAGACAGGAAAAACCAGCCATGGGACCCCAAAGCCCTCTTCCAGGGAAACAGTTAGGGGATCTGTCTAGGAGCAGGGACTTAACAGGTACTGTTTTAAGTACCCTACAAACCTTAGGGCAAGCTTAGAGGCAGGCTGGCTCAAGGAAATACTGGAAATCATCATTGCTATGGAGGAATTTAGGACTCTGCAATGACTAACTCAGTCTGGGCCTATTTTAAAATGAGGTCCAAAGCCACATCCAGTTCAACCTAAAGGCTCGAGGCCATGCAGTTCACTGTAGGACATCTTATGGCCAAGCCTGGGTAACTCTGATGTGCCAGATAAGATTAATGCCATTATTAGTGTGTCTCCTGTCTTTAGCTGACCCCCAGGACTTCGCAGTAAATAATGGGGCATCCCAAATGGAGAGTTCTATAATCTTGCTTTGTTTATGCAAAAGGACAGCCAGGTTTGTTAAGCTATCTGGCAAAGTCTTAAAATGAAGGTGGAGAGAAAACCGTGTTTCTGTAACTTGCTTCTTGGAAGAATCAGATTCTAATTCTACAGAGGGGATTGAATAAATGTATCCTAGTCTTGATCTAAAAGGTAACCCCTTTGGGAATTTCAGATAAAACTTGGTTTACTGGCTGTAGATAAACAGCCTGACCTATAAAGGAACTCTATGTTGTACATGCTGTCACTTAGTCTGATCAGAGCATTGGAAGCCTAGCCTTTACTAGGAGGAACCTCAGCTCAAAGTGCAAAATTAATTGCTTTCCCCCAGTCTGTGAATTCGCCAATGTTGCTCTGGTTTCTGTTGCTTTAACTCTTTTTTTTTTTTTTTTTAAAGACAGCAAACAACTCTGTTCTTATGGAGTCAAAAAGGACTTTCTACTCCTCCAGGGTCGAACCATTTAAAAGTGATATCCCTCAGTCTAACTTAGACAGCATCGAGGAATCAATCAGCCATCTGGAAAAGTCTTTGACTTCCCTCTCGGAGGTAGTCCTCCAGAACTATAGAAGACTGGACCTGCTCTTCCTCCGGAGTGGGGGACTATGCGCGGCTCTTGGGGAAGAGTGCTGCATCTATGCGGAACACAATGGAGTTATCCAAGACTCCATGACCAAGCTCAGAAAGAGACTAGAACACTGGAAAAAGGAGCGGGAGGCCAAGGAAAGTTGGTTCGAGTCCTGGTTCAATCCACCCTCATGTCCACACTCACGGGACCGCTGATTCTCGTCTTTCTTTTGCTTACTGTCGGACCGTGCATTGTAAACAAGCTAGTAGCATTTGTTAGGGACCGCGTTAATGCAGTTCAACTGCTGGTTCTGAGACAGCAATACCAGCCTCTACTCCCCGCAGCTCCTAAGGAAGGACATTCTTCAGTTTAGAGGCTGGGTATAGAGAAAGATATGACAAAGAAAACGGGGGGAATGTTAGGACAGGACAGCCACGGACTGGGCCAAGGACAATGAAGATAGTAAAGTTTCCACTCAGGTCTCTACTATCTGCTTGTTCCAGGAGGAACTATCTGCTTGTTCTGGGAGGAATGTACAGGCCCCTGAGCTATGAAACAGATGGCTATCATGGGTCCGGGCTCAGCCCTCGGACCTGGATATCGCGTGAAGCCCGGAGCAGGCACTTACGTAAACTGTGACCTTCAAATCTGCTGTAACAGCTGACTTGGGCCTATATAAGTAACCCCTGTACCTTGGGTTGGGGTCTGGCCTCTCACACAGGACCTGGGCATTGCTGTGTGCATGTGCACGACCCTAGCTAGCCAGCTTAATAAACTGCCTGCTTGCTGGTTGCATTCCTGTGTGGTCCTTGTCTGCGGTCAGAGATCCAGAACCGTGCCCTAACATCCCCGAGGAACTTGGCCCTGGAGCTCAGGAGCCAGACCCCCACGAGGATGGTGGTTCAGAAAACTCAGGTTCTGCTGAGGAGGAAACTTCTGATCACCCAGACCAGTCCGACTTGGACGAGGTCCCTGGCCAAAAATATCACTGCCTTAGCATTAGACACCTTAAAGAATTAAAAGCAGCAGTAACCCAGTATGGACCCATAGCTCCCTTTACTCTGGCACTCCTTGATAATCTTAGTGACTGCTGGCTGACACCTAATGATTGGTATTTTTTGGCCTGGGCCACCTTGTTCAGAGGCGATGATGTCCAGTGGAGGACTGAGTTCATTGAGAATTGCAGGAAAACCGCCCAACAAAATCTGGATAATGTAGCATCTAAAAACTGGACTAGAGATAAACTCTTGGGCCGCAGTCCATATGACACCAACGATCGCCAGGCCCATTTTCCCCTGGTCTCCTTGCTCAAATTCAGTGTGCTGGTCTCAAGGCATGGTAATGCCTCCCCCCAAAGGAGTCTGCAACCACCTCTCTCAAGAAGCTGCAGCAGGTTGCAGATGAACCCTATAGCAGTTTCATCAGTCACCTGGCTGGCATGGCTGAGTGCTTGGTAGGCAGTGGAGAAAATAAAAGTGCTTTTGTCAAACACTTGGCATTTGAGAATGCTAACCCTGCCTGCCAGGTGCCCCGCCCCCACTGTGTTGGTGCTGACCTCTCAGATTACATTTGGTTATGCTCAGGTATTGGCTCTTCTCATGCCATTGGGATGGCCATCAGGGCTGCCTTAAAGGAATATGTTGCCCCTAGAGATAAAACCTGCTTCAAATGCTGGCAACCAGTTCATTTTGCACAGAATTGCACTATGGGGCATCCCCCTCCTAACACTTCCTGCCCACATTGCAAACGAGGGAAACATTGGGCCTCTGAGTGCCATTCTAAAACTGAGATTCATTACAATTATTTCCAACTATTATTGTCATGGGCTCGAGCGACAGCATAGCGGTAGGGTGTTTGCCTTGCATGCAGCCAACATGGCCAACGTTAGTTCGATTCCTCCACCCCTCTCGGAGAGCCCGGAAAGCTAACGAGAGTATTTCGCCCACATGGAAAAGCCTGGGAAGCTACCCACGATGTATTCGTTATGCCAAAAACAGTAACAAGGCTCACAATGTTACTGGGCCTGCTCAAGCAAAATTGATGAACAATGGGAGAACAGTGATAGTTATTATTGTCATACTGTCCCTTCTCTATCTTACCTACCCTCAATATCCACACACTAGTGGTAGATTCCAACTATTGATCAGGCCTCCTAGCACTTGTTGAACACCACTTCTTATGGAAGACTTTGTTACTTTATTTCTAGGAAGGAGGAAGGTTGAAAGCAAAAATGACATAAAACAAAGAGAATGTGTTGTACCCATGCCCCACTTTTTGATGCTTTTTTTCTTCCCTGCCACTTCCTGCCTTCTAAATAAATGTTTGCTAGATGATTTTGTGCTCCCCATAAAATCCTTCTGCAGAAGCAGGGATCAGGGGCCTGTGCATACCTGTGTCCTGGCTCCCCTCACACCTTATCTTCAGGTTCAGTCCTGCACCCTGAGAGTGGCAGCCCTCTCCCCATGCACACTCACATACATGATGTTCCCTGTGGTAGAACAACCCCATTCCAGTTAATCCCCCAATGCTGAGAGTGGCCGACTGGAGAGAATGTTCAGACATGTTGCTATGATTTTTATTATTATTTTTGGCTATTATTTGTGTCTTGCCTGGTGTCTGTGTGTTAGGGCATTTCAGTCTCCTTCCGGGTCCAAGGGTCCAGCTCTCCCTCTGCCTGACGGCTCTTCTGGGGGTCCCTGAAGGCTGGGATGAGGCCCAGATAGAGCCCAGGGTATGGGGGCAGTGGGGATGGCTCTCCCCATGGTGGGTCTGAGCAGTGCAGTGGGAACAGGTGCTGGCAGGAGGCCAAGGTCAGCCTCACTCACACAATGGCCACCACCCTCCCAGGCAAGAACGCCTAATTCAGCCAAGAGGCAGGGTTAGACTCCCACCACATGGGCCACTGTTTGGGGATACGAGATGTGTGGGTTCACCTGAGGATTTGAATGCAGGAAATGAAATCTTTGCTTTCACCCTCAGACCTGAATAAGAGTCTTGGGGGTCACTCCTCAGCTCCACCTGCTGCCTCCTCTTGCCTGCTGTGATTCTCTTATATTAGGGGTTAGGGTGGATGAGCTTTATCAGAGTGTGGGTTGAGCTGGTGCTTTCTAAGATGTTCTCCCGTGGGCTCTGTCACAGGGATCTGGAGCCCAGCTGCCTGGATCTCAGACTGGCTGGTAACTTCCCTGCCCTGGGAGGGGCAGATCACTGGCCATCAGGCCTTAATGTCCAGATCTGTGAAGGGTGCTGGCAGAGTCCACCTTGCTGGACTGTGCTAAGGACGTGGGCCAGCTCCCAGAGCCCTCTGAGCACACTGACTCATCATTAGGGTTCTTAGCACTTTGGGGTGGGGTGGGCAGTTTGAATTCCACACCTATCAGTGTCCAGGAGTCACTCCAGTTTTTTCTCTGGAGGTGCTCCTGGTGCTCTTAGGGGATTATTAGGGTGTTGGAGACCAAACCCAAGTCTCCTGAATGCAAAGTCTGCATGCTAGCCCTTTGGGCCCTATTAATAGTATATAATAAGATATTAATTATATATGTTGGCTCTGCAGAAGACCCGAGGTTGGAAAGCAGGAACTGAGGAAGGTCCCTTCATGTCCTCCTGTCAATGTGCTCCCAGTCCCCATGGGGGGCTCCCAGGGGCAGCGGACCTTGGTGGATCCCATTGAGCACTACAGAGAACCATGTGGGAGCACCAGAGCTGGGTGTCCCCACAGCTAGAGGCACAGGGGTGGGAAGGAGAGAAAATAATAGCAGTGAGAACCAAGTAACAGTAACACAAGTTCCTGGACAGAAAGAGTGAGGAAATGAGTTTAAATTTCTAGTACAATTTTCTGAACATCCAGGAAGGAAATCCAAACCTCATGAGATTCTAAAGATTTCTATTGTGTGTGTGCTATTGGGTACATGTATGTGTGTGTCTGATGTGTGTCTGTTTCTATGTGCGAGTTTGCTGCCACCTGTTCAGAACTAAACCTGAACTTTGTGCTTTCATGTGGTCCCCAAAGCCGTTGCTCACAGCTTTTCCAGAATCAACTTCTCCCTCACCCCAGACCCTGAGCGTCCTTGCAGGAAAAAGGGGTTTCTCTCTTACCTGTGAACTATCCATCAGCACATGCTGGAGACTCACTGCAGGGGCTGGAGAGAGAGTTGGGGCCAGCTTAAGGATCCTGTCTTGAATGAGGCAGACTCTGGTCCAATCCCTGACACCTCATGGTCCCTGAATGATGCACGAGCATAGAGCTGGGAGCTTCCTTGAGGACCAGTGAGGAAGGCAAAAGCCAAACAGAACAAAACCCCAGAACAGAGAATCAAACCAATCCCTTCAATTCTCACACTCTGCCCACCACCAAGAAGGAGCCCTCACCTCCTGCCTGGACCTCACAGTCACCTCTCATTGGACCTCTGGCTTCCACTTCGACCCCCACAGCCTGATCCCCAGCAACACCCAAGGTCCCCCCAGGACACAAGCCCAGACACTCCCCATGGTGCAAACTGAGTCCCTCATTTCTCCTCTTTCTGTTTGGTTGTTGGTTTCTGGGCTCACGGGGCAGTGCTGAGTGCTCAGTGCTTGGGCTGAGTGCTTGGGGGTGAGTCCTAGGGCTGCTCATGGGATCAGACGGTGATTGAGAATCCAGGCCTCCTGCATCCAAAGTTTATTCTCTGCCCTCTGCACTGTCATCACCGCCTTCTCTTCTTTGGGTCTCTCTGTAGATCTGTTTGTTTCTCTGTCTGTTTGTCTCCTGCTCTGCAGGTCTCTGACCATCAGCTCTTCCAGACTTGATGGTATTGAGGTCACAGAGAGAGAGAGAAAGAGAGAGAGAGAGAAAGAGAGAGAGAGAGAAAGAGAGAGAGAGAGAGAGAGAGAGAGAGAGAGAGAGAGAGAGAGAGAGAGAGCACAGCATGTATTGCACCTGAGCACAGCTGGGTGTGACCCCCACCTCCTTATCCCCCCACCCCTCATCAAGTGAAAAATACGAAAAAATTGGCTCCAAGAGGGGAAGCAAGTTGCTCACAGGAGCTTCGACTCTGCCTTAGGGGAGCCCTGGACAATGGCTTCTGGGGAGGATCAGTGGGTAGCTAAGAACTGGGGGTCTCAGGGCTGGAGAGACAGGACAGTGGGGAGGGCACCTGACTCCATGTGTCTGAGTCCGGTTCAATCTCTGTTACCACACAGGGTCCCTGAGCACTGCCAGAGTGATCCCTGAGCACCACTGGATATGGCAAAATTTAAAAATAGGAAGGAATGAAGGAAGGAATGAAGGAAGAAAGGAAGGAAGGAAGGAAGGAAGGAAGGAAGGAAGGAAGGAAGGAAGGAAGGAAGCAAACTTGGTTCCAGTTGCCAGCATGAGAAAATGTGTGGTGTCAGAGCTGGAAACAGAAAAGGTTAGGGAGTTTCCCTTGCCTGGTGCTAACCACAATTCCATGACCAGGATCCCACATAGTCCCTGAGCATTGACAGGAATGGCCCCAGTTATCTCACTACCTGCCCACCCACTACAAATAAAGAAAAAGTAAGAAAGTGGCCTGTTCTCTTGCACTAGCATCAATTTCTTCCCTAGGCTAGTGGGCGGGTCAGGAATGATGAGCTTTGGGGCAGGTTCAGAGCCAATGAGGAAGCTGTGGGCTGAGACCTTTGGGGATGGACATTTCTCCCTCCAAGGGCTTGTAACTGTCAGGCATCAGGTTACTCCAGCAGCAGCTGCCCCTGTGTTCCTGCTCAGAGGAAATAAAGGAGTGGGGTGTTAAGACCTGAGGGCTAAGGGACACCTCTGGCCACCCTACTCAGCCTGCTAGGACCCCAGCATGGCCTGGCCCCCTACCCTGCTGGGTCTGACTCTGCTGCTGCCTCTGCTGTAACCGCCTTGGGCTCCCACCAGAGCCGGTAAGTGACCCCTTCTCCCCCAGACTCCCACAGGCTCCTAGCCCTGCAGAGTGCTCGCCCCACCCCCGCACCCCCACAGGCAGGAACAGTGGCCCTGCGGGGTCCCTGCAGCCATCTTGAAATCATCAATCCTAGTCCCATGTGCTTAGTCAATCACTCTGTATAGGATTGATGTCGGTGTGCCCCACGGGTGACTTATGTGAAGCGGGGAGGAGAAAGATGGTCACTTTCCCCCCAACTGCCTCTGCCACCTGGGACCCAGGGTTACTGGGTTCTTGTCTCAGAAAGGAATTTCAGGAGTAGACAAGCAGTGAAATAAACAGATTTTATTTGGAGGATTTTTAAGGTGTGGAGGGGAAGAGAGTGAGAGAGAGTAACGTACTCAAGAGAGAACACAGGCTTCTCCAAGGGCGGAGAGAGCCTCTACACACATACCAGCATTAGACATGAAAGCATGAAAGTACACATCTCAAGAGGGGAGATGTGGGCAACACGTGTGCTTGACCACGTGGGCGCAAGCAGCACTTAGGCTCA